GACTGTACATGTTGGTAGAATGCTACGCTGACAGACACTGTGCGTTTTGGCTTGACTCTACCACACTACCTACGAGCTACGCTCATTTACACTACACTACATATCATACATATCCAAGTACCGTACTTTCCCATGTTATGTTCTTTTGATACTTTGTGTTCACTTTATTTACCTGCTACCGTCATGTTTTTCCCCCTAGCACCTGGGTCTGCACACTTGAGTACAACCTCAGTCCTCCCTCACCCTCCTGGTGAGGGCGGCTACCATAACAGTCATATTCACTCCAGAACACATTTTGAGTTTCATATACTGTTGGAAAGTTGTGTAAAGAGTGGTGAAAAGGAGCCTCCAGCATCTTCTGCCCGAGCTAAGAAGGTCAGCTTTGTCTTAATAATGAAACAAGTTTATGCACATTATTATATACTTGAACTTCCATTAACATTGAAGTTTCAATTTCTTTATTCTGACAGGCTTTCCGAGAGGGGTCAAGAAAATCGTCCAGAGTAAAGGTAAACTTGCAGAAGCAACACAGAACTACTGTCCAAAGACTTGAGTAGGTGCCCTCTGTCAGTACTTGTATAACAACTGTACTGTTTGCCCTCAGGGTGCAGCTCCAGAGCAGGAGCCAACGGAGCACCCGTCTCTGTGGGAGAACAAGATAAAGACGTGGATGGAGCGTTATGAGGAGGCCAACAGCAATCAGTACAGCGAGGACGTCCAGGTCCTATTGCGTGTTAAAGAGCAAGGCGATGGCAAGAGCCTGGCATATAACACACACCCAGCCTCTTTTAAGCCACCTGTGGAGGTACTTCATACATTTGTACTGTAGTCATAAAAATATGATAATTTGCTACAATCATCATTAAAGCTGTCTTTGGCACATGCACACATGCCTTGCCTAATACGTTTGTGGTACCTGGCTCTGTTTCCCTTGCAGAGTCAAGTTCAAAAAAACAAGAAGATCCTCAAGGCGGTGCGAGACTTGGCCCCAGACTCCCTCATCATTGAGTACAGGGGAAAGTTCATGCTTCGACAGCAGTTTGGGGCCAACGGATACTTCTTCAAAAGGTCAGGATGCTAGTTGCTAGTCAAAAGGATTTCTCCAGGCTGAGCTGAGTTAGAGATCCGATGTGTGGTCCTGATCTGAATGCTTCCCTGATGAGAGAGTGACCTCCTGGTTTCAGTCAGAGTTGTGAGCAGTACCATACATCAACTGGCTGGCCAGAAACTATAGGTAAGCGGAACCTTTGTTATACATAAACTCCGCACATTGAATTTATTCTAAATTAAAGCTGATGTGTGGGCTGTCCACTCTCGACGTTCTAAATTGGTTCCTAAACAGTAAGGTTAAAGAAACACTGTTTTTTTTCTGTTTTTGAAGGCTGTGCTGGTTTGTTCTTTGTCACATGTACAGTTAACAGAAGCACATAGTCTCATTTGAGGGGAAG